CATGTATGAACAAGTCTACAAAATGTGTCTGGCTACAAACGCTGAAGGATTTGCCTTTCATTTAAAATGAATCAAATGCACAAGTGTAGGGGAGAAGTTTTTTTTAACCACAATCACCGAGCCTGATTTTGTCTAATGCAACATTTTTTTTTACATTGAGCTCACTGTAAGTTGTAATGCTAAATGGAGCTGCAGTCAGAACTGAATGCTAAAACTATCAGTTAAATTATCACAACTAAATATTTCACATACTGTACATGTTCTGCAAATATACGTTGGTATTAAGCCTTCCAGGGTTTCTATTTTTTCTGGTCACGATCCTCTTCAAACATCTGTACTTGGGTGTGGATCATACATAAAATAGCAATGAAAAATGTTCTTGCCCATGCTTAATAAAGTTTACATTGATTAGGATTGCTAATAGAAAAGCTGTACATAAGTGCAGCCACATATAAACAATGTGTTACATAAGTATAGGATGCACAGTGTTAGAAAAGCTTGTCTCAACATTATAAAATAAAAATTATACATCATATTATATATTCTAGGTATATGTGTTTTTGGTTCACTTCAAAAACATCTCACATGACAGTAGCGTATATATCTAGATGTTAACGTAATAAAAAAGTTCAATAATGTTTACTGAGTTTAGACATAATAGTGTACATTCAATTATCAGGTCTTTCCCTGAAGGTGTCTTAGCCTTTTCCTGCTTACCAAGTCATGCTGTTAAGGAGGTAAAACCAGACAACAGACAAGCCACCAAAACTAAAGAAAATAAATTAGAAAAAACAAAAAACAGAACAAACTCTGTCAGTCCCTAAGGGACATTGAATATAAAACACGAAAAGACTAATTAGGGTCTCTGGCTTTACTAAGAAGGGCTGTTAATCCGCCTGGTAGTGCAAAGTCTGGCATGTCTGTTATATCGGGACATCTGAAAGACTTTTTTGTAAGATCTTGGTGGGAAAAAACTTTTATACTTTGGTAACATTCCAGCATACACTGTAAGATTTTGTCTAATGGACAAATAAATATGTTTTATTTGATAATACTTTAGATATTTAGAGTTCCTTTCTCTCTAATATATTTAGCTATTTGATGCCATTAGTTAGG